AAACTGCTCAAGTGTTTGACACGGGTAATAGTCAGTCCTGGTTGGGACGAGGATTGAGAAGCTCCACCCCGGTGAAAAATCCAAAATCTGCAGCCGACCAGTCCACACACCGGTGTACACGTAATTGGGAATGGCATGCCTTGTTAAATTGGTACCCCGGATCCGTTAGCGGTGGACCCGTGTTGATTTCAACATGGCCGGGCTATTTGATAGCGTGAAAAGGCCTTAATGTATGTATGTACTGTATGTTGTGGAGCTGGTCATTTTCGAATAACTTAGTATTTGATTACTTGAAACTGCGTTTGACTGAATATTTGGATATTCGAAACTGCCAGCTGCAACTGCGTGCCGCGCCGGTCAAAAGTTGCAGGCAGAGCGCGCCAGTTATCATTTGCATGTGGCGATCGATGTGGGCCGCTGCAGTGTTTTGCAGTAAGTATTTTTTAACTGTCAAGGGCTTTAACCTGCTCAAGGGATGGGGAAAATGAACTGCCGTTGACAGGCATGCAACTTTTCCTCGTATCTGCTGATTTCCTCGTTTTTTACTTCTCATGAATGCCATTACAAATTGAAAAACACTGTACAAAGTCTTGTGTGGTTTGGAGTTTCCTCGTTTTTTCTAAATTCCCAGTTGCATGCCTGCGTTGACCAAAAAAGTTACCTTCGACAAAAAAGTGGCACCTGACAAGTGACAATAAAGCGCCAAACGTTACGATAAAATAACATCACAGTCGTGTGTGTACAAAGATGTACGTGCGTAGTTTTCTGTTGTTTTCGAATATTCCAACCGGCCAAAAAACTATTCGAATGGTTGATGATCGAATATTCAAATATTCAGTATGTTTGGGACAGCTCTAGAATGTTGTACCCTATGTACAATATACATGGAGTCTTCTGAACCTGTAATTGTACAACGTACTGCCACATGTAATATTTTGGTAATCCTGTCCTCAAAATTTTGCTGATTAATGGCGGGCACACTGAAACCAACGAGGGGTCACAGCACTTGACAGAAGGCCAGCCTTATGATGGATGTCCTGCTGGAAATTCAATAACCTGGGATGAGTGCGGTGCTTCATTACCACAGATCAACTGTAAAGTGGGCAAACATAAACTTGCTTGTTTCTGAGGAACTGCTTTTTCCCCTTGTATTGCCGCTCTGTGAAACTCGCTACCTGAATCTTGCTTCCCCTCTACCTACGTAGATGTATGATCTTTCAAAATTCAAGCGAAATTTTAACAGACACATGTAATCCTCTGTCACTTTGACTTCCATTCTTTTGTATTACTCTATTGGTAGCCTACACCTTTGAGTGGTCTACTCTCAGCTGAGTGTTCAGCTGATATTCATTAACCCTGACCCTCCTCAATCCTCCAAAATCCTCATGGCGGTTTTGTAGGATTTTGGAGGATTGAGGATGAAAGGTGTTAAAGAAACATGAGGATTTTGGAGGATTGAAGATGAATGGTGTTGAAGCACATGAGGATTTTGGAGGATTGAGGATGAATGCATTTGGAAACAGGACTGTTGGATGATTTTGAAGGATTGAGGCGCTGGGTATCCTTCATTTGAACATAAGTGCAAAATTTCGGAGGATTTTGAAGGATTGAGGATGGTTCCTAGCAAAAAGGCCCTGGGGGTTAAAATAGCCGGAAATGTAACGTTCACCAAATTTATGTGAACTACAAATGTATTTGCACAGCAAGTTGATGGCAGAGGAATTTGCTAAAGTAAAGATCTGGGGTACAAATTTGTATTGAGCTGCCAAGCAGTGAAGTATTGCTTAGAAAAATGTGCTGTTCAAAAATCGGTTGACAGCCGCTCACAAGCATTGTAAAGTGCACAAGATTTTTGGGGTGGTAACCTGCTTTTTATATAAGCAAAAACATGTACATGGTGTGCTCAGAAAATACTCTGTTGAAGCATGGAGGAATAAGAGCAAAATGGCGGGGAGCTTGTCACAATGTGCTTGAAATATTCTCCATTTTTCAAGATGCCTTACATGGACAAATGTACGATGGTGGTAAGCGTTATTGAATATTTTATGAATGACTCGACTCATTTCGAGAGTTATGTGGAATCAAATCGATTGTTCCTCCACCATTGAAGCTTGCACATGCTAAACTGGGTCAGAAGAGCAAAGGTTTGGTATTTTGGCCATGTGTTGTGACGTCAACCAATCCTGTCAATGATAATTGATATTGTCTGATGTTGAACTGGTATCGGTTTCAAGGGAAAGACTAACACCGCGTTCCCACTTGAATTTGGAAAAGGTGGATCACGATCCGGCATTTTGGTGTGATCGTTATCTTACCGCAACGAAACCGCAAGTCGCGTTCCCACTTATGCTTGATCCACCTTTTCAAACGGAAATGTTGGGTCTGAAAGGTCACTGAGTTCGGAATTACGCGCGCTCTGTGGAGTGCCAGTAGTGTTGCATGCTAGGCCAGGATGGGTCAGTTTTTAACAGCGCTATGAATTCACCGACAAAAATTACGCGAATTCACCGACATAAATCACGGATAGAGGATCCGTACGTGCATAAATTAACTGGTGAAATCGAACAGCGCCGCTCATTGTGTGACATCACGGCAGAAACCAATGCATCGATAAGGGATTCCCTGGTTCTGAAGGTTCTCATTGGTTAAAAATGGTCACATGATGTACTACGACATCTTTTCCAATTTTCTATAATCAATACTACAGATTTGTCACCTCCAGACGCACCGCGTTATCGGCACTATTCTCATTGCGTATTCGTAAGCTTTTACATGATTCTGTGCCAAATTGAAGTGTTTTGGTGAGTGCGGACTCAGAGTCATTTATGGATGGAAAAATAAGTAAAATTTCTCGAAAAAAAAAAGGTTTAGAAATGGAAGAATACGCAACGAAAATTGTAAAAGGCCTAGTGTAGTTTCAGGATATACCACGTGCATGCGCGGTGCTAGCCCGTAGTTCAGCGGTTGTTTATTGTGCACGTTGAGTACGTTGGAAATTTTCACATGAGCTACACGCCTGAAAGCGTGTTTCTTCGTTCTTAAGACCGCAACATTTTCGCGCCACTCGTGCACCGTGCGGATGTTGATAGGTCAAATTGCCGGATCAGATCCACCTTTTGCGTTCCCATCTGATCTTGATCCGGCAATTGCCGGATCTGATCCACCAATTGGGGGATCTGTATCCTGGTCCAGAGGTGGATCAGAAAAGGTGGATCTGATCCTGATCCACCTTATAACGGTTAGCGTTCCCACTACACACAATTGCCGGATCTGATCCACCAATTGGGGGATCTGATCCGGCAATTTGGCAAAAGGTGGATCAGATCCCCCAATTGGTGGATCAAGTGGGAACGGGGTCTGAAATACATAGCATGATGTTACCGAAAACCTGTATTGATAACGATAACAAATCTGTATTGCGAGTCTGGAACCAAGCCCAGCTTGAATAGCTGCCTGACAGGCTTTGGTTTGTGCAGTTATACATCTCAGTATAAGATGACTTAGTTTCTGGTTCATCGGGGATTGAAGAGAGTATTGGCTTTGGTCTCAACTATGAGGACATTCACTTGTATGGGTGGGCTGAATTTCTCCCCCACTGTCTAATGTTAGACTAGAGGTTATCATAGCCCTTGTGTTGCAATCTTATTTGGTTTTCAATTTCTTTGACTCTTCCTGAACTAAAGTCCCTTTCTTGAGTCTTGCCCATCCATCACTGTACCGTTCTGAATGTTCATGTGTACTTTTCCTTTACAGATTGAAGTCATTCAGGATTCGGAAGGGGGGAATATAAGCCGAACTGCAACACTCCATTTTCTGTAAACCGTTCAAATAAGCTGTCAGAAACTGTTTGTCATGGGCTTGCTCAAACAATGAGGAGATCCAGTTGCTGAGTTCATAGAAAGGGATCGCTCGCGGCGGTCACCCTTTGGACAAAATAATGCGCCTTTCATCGCTGAAATCACTTCATTTCACTCCGACTCGAGGCGCACCTTTGTCCAGCGGAAGTGCACATCCTTACTGATGCGTGACCGATGGTCCGGCAGAACGATTGCTTTATTGTACCCGCAAACTCTCCAGCTGTGTATAAGTAGTAATAGTAAGGGTGGGGGGGGGGGGTGTAGGGCAGCCAGGAGATAAATATTGTCAGCAAACCAAGCCAGTGGCAGAGTGTATGTAAGCTGTTTGCATGTTGGCTCCACTCAAGTGGAAAGCAGTGCGTGGCTTTTCATGGGTGCCAGACAGTCTATCCGCTGATGAGGTGGAAAGAAAAAAAAGCCTCTTCCTTTTGGAAGATGCATGGCTGAAGGGGATGTTTGAGGGAATTTGTGTGCCGTGGAGATAATGATGCAAGGAGGTTGTAGAATATACCACCAGGCATTTGTGGTTGGGGGGGGGGGTGATATCAGTAGGACAGAGACCTGGTTGAGGCTGACTCCTGTCCCGTTTGTTTATGATGAGAATTCTTGGGTTGGTTATCTCCGAGGTCATCAGCTTGCAGTGAATTCATAGAGGTTGATAAATTTGACTGTGAAAATGCGCAGGCCGAGAGGCCAATCTGTATGCGTATGGTGAGGAGTGCATTAATGAGCCCAGCTTGGAGCCTGTAGCATGACAACGCATCTTTATCACGCATCAAATGCTCTTTGTAATTACATCATTTGTCAGAAATGAGCGAGGAATTGATTGCTGTTTGAAGCTTGATAATTGAGCAGTTACAGGCGCTTCAAATCTATTGAATTTCATGACACTCGTTGCAAGTTGACAAGTGCCATCAAATATTTATGAATTCTGCACTTGTGTAATTACACTTGGTACAAGTTGCCATTAATTGTTCAGAACTTGAATGTGTACGTGTACTTGATAGGGAGGCATGCATTGAAAAGCGTGTCACAATCAATTTTTACAGTGATGCACGTACACAATTACTTTTTCATCCCTTAGAATATATGCGGTCCTAATTACGCCAATGTAAAACCAAATTTTCAACTTATATTTTTCAGATACACCATGGTTGCTTCTGAACTGTTGCAAAACTTTGGCTGAATCTACTAGTCAACAGTGGATTACTTCTCATCCGGAAAATTCCAGGCTTTTTGCCTTTCATCAGCTACGAACTCCTCGGAAAGGATACTTACAGTAAGCCGCTCCTTTCAGCTACTGGAGATCATCAGTCGAAGTTGCCACTTGCTGTGGAAAACACTGTTTTTTGGAGATTCCCTCTTCTCTGCATAAACTATGGCACCGTCATCGAGGATAAGCCTTAGGGACGTCAGCTCGCACTGCCGCTGTTTCCTGTGGGTTTCGGCAGTACTGTGCCTAACAAGGACTGCCGGTGTGGTTGTTGCGGACCAAATGAGCTCTGGCTATGGCCGAGCGGAACTCTGGAAACCAGTGTCGCTGGGAGCCGGTCTTTCGGACGTAACGGCCACCGTTGGCAGGGTGTTCAAGTTCAGTGTGCCAGAGGATGCGTTCAAGGGAGACAACTTAAGATATGAGGTTTGTAGTGTTTGTTGTTCAGCAACAGATTGCATATTTAAAAAAAAAAAAACATTTTAAATCAATTGTTTTTCAAAGAATCGGTTGAAAACTAATTTCAAGCAAGTAGATGAATTTGGAAAAGAAATTTACAAATGAGATGACATGATAATTTTATGAGGAAAGTAGGATTTTTTTTTTTGAAATTTCCTGGATATGGGAAGCAGAGAAGTTACCGGTATTCAAATCAATGAGAAGAATTTGTCATTGAGTTAGTGCACAAAAGTGGATTTTGGTGAATGAAGGAACATTTTAAGAAAAATCCAAGGGAGTTACGGTTGATAAAAAGACAATAAAGTGCATTTTATACAAACAATTGATATATCTGAGATAAGAGTGGAAAGGATGAGATTGCTGAGAGAGGATAGACCAGGAAAAAAACAAACTCGGTGACCTGCACTTTTCCGGTGTTTCTGAATAATGTATAAGTGATTCAGTGTCAACACCCCCAACCCACCTCTGTCCACAATGACTCCAGAAATCTTGGTGTAAAGTTTCCAGCAGGAAAGGTTAATAGATGCATATATCTACTTGTTTTGTTCTTCCCCTCGCGGTTCGAGGTCAAGATACTTTTGTCCTGTCTTTAGCTTGCCACAGATGATCTTGGTATTTTTTTTTTTTCAGTTTCTTGAGCCAACTCTGAATTTTGGACAAAATATTTTCAACTGGTTGTTCTCTTGTACATGTATGTATACTTTTATGTACATGTACATTGTTGTTTACACAACCACATGTACATACCATTTTCTACATTTTCTACATGTAGACTGAGTTGTAGGCTACTGTATAACATACTCTATACGTAAATCAGATTTCATTTCAAAAATGTTATGAGAAGCCAATTCGGAAACTTTTTTTTACCTGAAAAGCCCAAGCAATTAAGATATTTCAGTGTTTGGAACTCACTCCGAATGCTACGTATGTAGTATTAATTGGAAAGTTCTCTTTAAATGCAAATTTAATGTAATACATGTACCATCTGTACATGTACATGTATTACATTAAATTTGCATTTAATTTGCTTCTCAAAAAAGAAGGCCCTCTATAATTTAATGTGCACAAAGAATACACATTCACAGCAGATTAGCTTACCCAACCTTTTGCCCATCGATGACACCATGGAGAATGATGACACTTATATTTTTACCAGTTGCCGTACTCGAAGTACATTTCGTGCATGCGTTTATGTAAATTGCACATTTTAAAGTGGCCATGAAATGAACTTTTCTTGGAAACACATTTAGTGCAACTTTCTACTCCTCTTAAATGTATGAAAACGATTTGACATCCCTTTTTGGTTAGTTTTATTTCAAAGTGCACTTCTTTAAAGGGAAAATACAACATTTGCAAACATCAAAAAATAAAACTACCAAATCATTTTGAAATACCTTGCTGGACTGTTAGTGAATGACAGTGTAAAGCATCCTGTAAAATCATGGCACCTGGTATACTGTCATTCTCAAGAAAGGTGGTATTTTTGTATCAATTTCCAACGCTGATCGGCCGACCAGCGTTGGAAAAAACTGGCTTTTTTTCATACACTGGCCTCAGTTGACCATCCACTTGTTTGCAATCGATTACACACCTACATGTATGAACGGGTTCAAGCCAGCTAGACTGGTTCCCTGACCTTACAATTCCCCAATGTATGTAAACTGCTCTGTTTCTTCTTAAATGGAGTCAGGGAACCAGACTACAGGAAAATGATTGTTTTTCTTGGTTTTTATAGCATTTTCGAACCCAAAACCTCAAAAAAGTCAGTGTAACTATATTTGCTATACATTTCCAACCCCCCAATTCCATCCATTTCTGAAAATTACAGCAAAAGCAAATGATGTATATTCCCTTTAAACATTAAAGAAATGTCCATGCTTTTTCAGACAACTGAGGGCGCTGCTGCCGTGATGGCATTTCAGGATGACATTGTTCAGTTCAGTGGTTTCCTGTTCAAATTGTGAACCCAAAAATTTTGCTCGTTGAAAACATTTGTGAGAAAAGTTTGGTTATTGGCTCACTGCTACCGGTATACTGACACAACAAAGAATCACCAAAGAAAAAGAAAATTTACGGCAAAATATCAACAATGTAACATTGAAGTTTCTGCCTAAAATGACATCACACTTTTGCTCATGAATATGGAAATTTGAATTAGCATTAAAAAAAGCACCAAAACACCCTTGAAAATGGCAAAACGAAAATATTAATGAGACACGGAGGTGCATTTTCAAGGATTGCATTTTAAAAAATCACATTGCATGGGACCTTTAAGCACTGTCACATTTTTGCTGGTGCCCACCAACAGTTCTGATTTCATTATAGATTTGATGGCTTTTGGCAATTGTCCCAAATTTTAACATGGGAGTTTGGCACGTAAACAAGTACATTTTGAGCGGGCACTCGGCAACAGGCTTGAGTTGATGTAGCTTGAGGGAGACAAGACAGTGCCTGCTTTTTTTCCAAATGATGTGATAAAAACCTGGTCATGACTTCGGCTGCTGCTGGGAATCCGATGTCTGGTTTCGTTTGACATCAGAAGATCTGATGTACTGACTTTTGGGAAATGATGGCAAATAAAGAACAACCCCGACTGAGACTTTTCTTTTGTTATGCACTTTGGGAATAAGAAGGAATTCCCAACGGGCATAATTCAGGGGAGCGGAATAATTTGTGAGATGTATTTACAAATACAAGGAGATGGGGCAGTCAGGCATCGATGTTGACAAGTTAAAAGGGTCATCTTAGATATAAACACTGAGCCTGACACTTGCAGGTGACTGATTTAATGCCGGTCACAATTTGTATGACATCATTTGGGAAGGTGAGGTGCAGAGTCCTTGTTACTTTCCCAGTTTAAAAAAAAACAACCCAAAAAACAGGTTACTGGTTACATTGAAATATCACTTACATGTACAATGTAAAAGCCCGTTACAGACAACAGATGGGGGACAAAAGACAACTTGGGCAATTTTATTAGCCAAACAGCAGTTGTAATTTATCACGATTGGGAAGTTGTTTATTTGTAGCAAAGTCTGAAATGACCAGAATGGTTTCAACCTGGGCTGATCCCTTGGGTGGCACATTCACCTGAAGACTTCCAGATTGTTTCTGCCAGATATTAATTCAGATAAGAAATTGACAATTGTTTCCCCCTGTTATGAAATGGGGAGTGATGAATTGCCTGGTTCCTTATAGCACGGTAATGAAAGTCAGCTTATAGCTTACGGAATTCTTCAAGCAGAAGGTTTGATTGATTGTCCCCTGGTTTTAATTATAAGTGATTTTTGAGAGCAAGAAAGTAGTGGGACTAGCAAATAGCAAATAGTGAATGATACAGGTGCTGGGTTACAGTTATTTGCAGTGGGATGTATGGCTCTTGTATATTGATGGAATTTGGGATTTTAAACCAAAATTAAATGTTCAGGAATATTATTTGAGGGGAAATTAGGCAGAGGAGGGAATTATACACGAAATGTGCCCAAACAAGACTAAACTACATACATGTTTGAGCTGTCAAATGCCAAATTTCTTCACTGAGTTTGAACTTTCCATTCATATCGGAAATTTGGAATACAGTTAAAGTACATTTTACATGCACAAAATTTGATTGAAAGCGTCCATGACGTATGGTAAAATGTCAGCTTGCCCGATGTCTGACTGGATTTACCATCCGATAATGTACCTTGTAAACGGAACCCAGAGTTTTGAGATCTCAGTTTGCTTGCATTTTGCATTTTATGCAGTCATCTAACCTTCTGTTCATCCCAAACAACGCTGTCGATCAACAACACTATTCCGTCAGGGTTCATGTGCAGATGTGCCTTACCTGCCTCGGATATATGTATTGTTTGTGTTACACGAATGTGTACTGGACTTGTTGAAATCCATTAACAGTGCTTCCCTCGGAAAACGTGCAGCTTTTTTTCGCTTTTTTTTTTGATAGCTTTTTATTCAATCATCCCCTTCTGCCATTCCCCCCCCCCCCCCTCTTTTTTCATTTGGGAGAAAGAGCATGGAGAGAGGTTCGCCGTTTGCTCAGAATTGTTTATTTTTCTTCAGCGGCCGTTGTAAAAACATATTTGGCCAGCAGGAAATGCATCTCTCACCAGCTCCATAGATTCCCCTCAGGAATGACCTGCTAAAATAAATTGATATGGGTTGATTCAGCTATTTCTGTCTCTCTCCATATCAGTACAGCTGGGTATGCTCTAACATATTGATCCAAATCTGCACCTGAATGTCTGGAGCATAACTGTGTCAGATAAGTGTAATAATCACATCATGTTATCAAATCTGAAAAAAAAAACTTGTCCTGACGACGAAACAAAAATGGTGACTGGAGTACATTAACAGTCTGATCAATTGCATATCTTGCAACTTGTACGGGGTGTGGGCTTCTGTGATTTGGCCAAAACATCAACACCCAGGCATGAGATTTTTCAGACTTTTGTCTGAATTCAGACCTTTTGAATCTGAGAGAAGGACATTATCAGTGTAGAAAGCAATGCATCTTTCAGGTCTTTCAATAAATGTTCAGACTTTTTTTGAAATTGACAATCTCATCCCTGAAAGTGAAATTATTGTTGTAGCCTCATTTGAAGGTGGTGAATTACTTGCACTTTTAGTTAACATTGGTCTCGAAAGAGTACACAGGTACGAAGAATGCCACCTCTTTTTTTCCATCATAATGGCACATGTACATGTATACTATATATTGGAGGATTCTGGAAAAGTTACCAGCAAAAATGCATAGGGAGCTAGTGTATTGGTACATGTACACCGTAAGCCCACACATCATGTGTAGGAATAAAAGTACATGTTCCACACAGGTTGACAGCCAAGTGAACAGTCAACAAAAGCTGTTATGGAAAATTATTGACTTTTGCAGGTACATGTATAGTCATACCCGCAGCTTTCATTAGAATTTGTATTGCGTTTTACGTGACCCAAATATTTTAAATTTT